AGAGAGAGAGAGAGAGAGAGAGAGAAGAGAGAGAGAGAGAGATGGAGATAGAGCAGAGAAATACAGAGAGAAACAGAGAGAGAGAGATAGAGCTATATTGTGCTTTTGGAAAGGGAAAGTTAATGGAGTCTGATGTGATTCAATATTTCCAACTGTTTTACTAAGTAGATATGTGTGGTGGTCCACATTATGTAATTTTTTTCCCTTTTCATACTGGTCATGAATGTCTTTTTACATTTAAATGTTATTTTATAGGATGCTAGGCATGCAGCTGAAGAGGAGATTTATACAAACTTAAATCAGAAGATTGACCAGTTTCTTCAGCTTGCTGACTATGATTGGATGGCAGGAGATTTAGACAACAAAGCTAGTGATTACCTAGTGGACCTCATCGCCTTCCTGCGGAGCACATTTGCTGTATTCACTCACCTTCCTGTAAGTAATAGTTCTTCCTGTGTTTCCCACAATATAGAGAAAAAGGTCTCTTAAACTGTAGCTTGGCAAAAGATGTTCATTTCTGATTTATATTCCAGGGAGCTTTTTGGTGTATAAAAGTTTGCCATAGATTTATAAATCCCTGTAGGGATTTTGAGGCCTCTTGTCATTTGTTTTCAAAGACTTTTTATTCTACTTTTTTGGTCTTTTTTGAGACAAGGTCTCCCTGTGGCCCCCTCTGGCCTGGCATTTGCTGTGTAGACCAGGCTGGTCTCAATTTTACAGAGATCCATTTACCTCTGCCTCTCATATGCTGGGATTAAAGATGTGTACCACTACCCCCAGCATTTTGTTTATTCTCATAGTGGTCCCTACTATTTTGTCTTCCAATTAAGTTAAAGGTAATTAGTACAAGATACAATATAAAAGAAATGTGGTTGTTAAAATTTAAGGTGTGTTCCTTTTAGAACATTGTTTAATTTTTTTGACGTTTTGGTTGTTAGCCTTAGCCATTAACGGCTGCACCATCTCTCCAGATTAAGATCGTCATTCAATTTTTTTATAAGCTGAAATTCTCTGATGAAGTTTCCTATCTTTTTATCTAATTTGTCTTTTTTTCTTGATTATATTAGTCACTGTCATTTAAAGTCATTGTTTATTAACAGTATTTATATGTGTATTGGTGGATTTGTTTCTGATTTTCTTCCTTGGTTTTAAGTATCATGCCTCTGTCTCTTCTATTGTTTTGTTTGTTATTAGGCATTGTATTTAAAATACGAGGAGACTCCATCTTCTAGCATCCTTTCCTTTATTAAGTACAATATACTGCTAGGTTTTGTTTGAACTGATGTTCTTGGTCCAGGTTTGAGTTGCAGTTGTGATGTACCTTAGTTGTCCCTGCTTCTAGATGAGGTACAGCAGGGTTGTTGATTAGCACCTCCATGTCACTATTTCTTCAGTGCTGAAGATAACTAGAAATTTCTGCTTTCCATATTGACTTTTTACCTTTTTGGGGTAAATATTGAGAAAGAGTCTCAGCAGTATACAGAGCTACAGTTAATAGAAAAAAACCTGCGTTTGTAAGTTGTCAGTGTCTATGTACCACTCCCTCAAAGCTTTCAGCTTTTTTCGTGGTCTAAGTTTTTGTGTATACCGAAAATTCAGATGTTGGACCTATCAATAGAATATCAATAGGAAGTGATGGACCATGAAGGTGGGGCATTTTTGGGACACTCTAGAGAGCTTTCTGGTTTCTTATACCATATGAGAATGCAGCAAGAAGATGCCTTTTATGTAGTAGTAACTCGTCCTCACTAGACACTGAATCTATTACCACCTTAATCTTGAACTTCCCAGGTTCCAGTACTGTGAGAAAAAAAAAATCTCTGTTATTTATAAGCTACTAGTCAATGGTATTTTTGTTGTTTATATAAGCTATCTGGTCCATGGTATTTTGTTTCTGCAGCTCAAATAGATTAAGACAATCTTACCTGAGATTCATGTGAACTGCTGAGTCTCTGTGTCTGCACCACTGTGAAACTTTGAGAAATCTTACTCTGCCTTTCAAATGTTTTTGTATAGACCTTAATTTTTATGAGCTGTGTGGTAGTTTTAATGACAATGTCCCCCATAGACTCCAAGTGTTTGAGCATTTTGCCCCTCGTTAGTGGTGAGGTTTTGGGAGGTCATAGAAGGTGTGCCCATGCTGGAGGAAGTCCATCACTGGGGGTGGGCTTAGAGACTTCTTAAGTCTTACCAGATCTCCAGTCACACTCTGCTTCCTGTGCCTGCTTGAAGATGTGAGCACTTAGCTTCTGCTCTTACTCCAGCCACCTGTGCTGCCATGCTTCCCCACCATGATGGACTCTTGCCCCTTTGGAACCATAAGCTAAATAAACTCTTCCCTTTATAAGTTCCTCTGGTCGTGGTGTTTTTATCGCAGCAACAGAAAAGTAACTAATACAAGCTTTATAACTTTAGAATTCAGCAAATGTTCTAGTGGAAGGATTAGCTCTCAGCTCTCTAATTTTGGCCCTCTAGCCATTTGAAAGCAGAAAAAAAATAAGTTTTTGTTTTAAATCTCTAATAGCTATTCTCTCCCTGTGATGCTGTGCCCAATTCTTACTCTCTTTTGCCTCTGCTGGGGTTTAGTCAGTGCCTCCAGGACAGCTACTTATCCTCAGATGTTCCCTGGCCGTAGTTTCATTCCCTTTTAATCCTCACTGTTCATAGCACACTGATGTGTTTAAAGAAAACTTTTTCTATATTTTGTACTTTTCTAGTTATTCTTAGTGGGAAGATTCATCTGGAGTTATGGGCAGTTTTAAAGCTGCCATGTGGGTGCTGGGAACCAAATCCAGGTCCTCTGGAAGAACAGCTAGTATTCTTAACCACTGAGTCATCTCTCCACACCCAAACTCTGGTTAACTATAAGGGGACTATACAGAAGGGAGAATAAAAGATAATATATTGTTTCCAGCAGAGAATGAAAACATGAAGTCAAATCCTTGATGTCGATACAGATTCTGAAGAGAAGACGAAATCTAGAAAGACTTTATAGGGAAAATAGGCTTTGAATTTATTAAAAGAATAATTAGAAAATGAGATAAGTCATTCTAAAGAGGACTATCTGCACACCCAAAATATACATACTTCTTTTGCCAGCAGTGAAAAGATACACTAGGCTGAAGCCACTGCTCTATGGAGGGGATTCTGAGAATAGCATCGAAGATGGCTGAGAACTACAGTGGAGGAGGGGATTGTTAAAACTGTTCCATGGCCTCTTCCTGATGACCACACATCTCAGCTGGTGCCTACTGTCCCTGACCTAATCTGGATCAGGTTTCTCATTATTCTGTCCCCACCCCTAGGACTTTACTAGGGAACCTCAATCCCACAACAGTATGCAGGCTCCAAACACGTTCCTTTATGAGTTTCAAGTTTTGGTGAAAAACAATTTGTTTAAACTTTAAAACCTCTATTTGAATCCTGGTTCCACATATATTATTTTGGGCAATGTTTTATTTGCTTCCACCTGAGCCTGCTCTGTCAAGAGCAACTTAACTTTATGGACAGGAATAGATTAGATGAAAGAGACTGAAACATGATAAGAATTAAAAGTGTGGAATTTTTTTCAATCACTTGTGTAATGTATGAGCAAAAGAAAATCTAAAATGAAAAAGGAATTAAAAAACATAAAACTTTTTAGAAAATGCAGATGTGTAAATATTTTAGTGTCAATACAACAATTATACATAAAATATTGACAGTTTTAGAGAAAAATAAGAAGCCGTATCGCCAATACAACTGTTCACCTTTACTGTATTTCACAATGAAGTTTTTTCCAACTACATTATACCGTGAAGATTTTCACATAATAGCTATCTGTATATAAAATTGTTTTTTGCTTTTTTATTTAACATCATATTATAAATATTTTCCAAGGATATAATTTAATAGTCATAAAATTAGTTTCACAAGTATGTAATATTTTAGTTGAGCAATAGAGTATAGTCCATGGACCCATGTACATTTTACTGCACAGTTAAGTTTTTTTTACCTACTTACTTTTATAAGCAATGCTGATATGATTATTCTGTCCTCAGATAACACCCATCACCATAGTACCTCAGTACCATGAGAAGGAATAACTAACTCAGTCTCTCTCCATCTCCTAAGCTGAGCAACACTACCAAGAGACTGAGCATGACAACACTTAAGTAAGCTGAGCTCACTGACTCTCCCTAGTGCAGGCTGTGAGGCATGGAAATTTAAAGCAGCAGGTTTACATGTCCATTGAATTCTACCTTCTGTTTATTTGTCACCCTTTCTTATCCCAAAGTCAGAATTAGAGTTAATAGGCTATTTGATTTCAAACAAACTTTTATTTTGAATCATAAGAAAAGGAGACAATTCAAAAGTCAGTATCGTTAAAGAGGCTAAAGACTGCTGGCTGTGTACCACCAGAAAGAACAGAAACTACTGCTGGGAACACTAGCTTTATTGGGAGAAAATTGCCAATTTACAGAGACACACAAGGGTCTCTGAAGTAAAGAAACAAAAAACCTCCAAAGAACTTAAGTGATTAAACCTGGAAGCCCAGCAACATACTAACAAGGAGCTAATTTGTTGGTCAATGTACTCAAGATAGCCCAAATAACCTAAGGGTCAAAAGTGTAGAAACAGGAAACATAAATCAATTTCTTGGTAGTCAGAAGTATCATTAACAAATCTACTCTTTCTGTCCATTGGAGAAAAAAAAGAAAAGAAAAAAGGAAAGGAAAAGGAAAGAAAAGTGGAAATTCTTTGGACATTGATTCTACCCATGTAATTAATTTGAAGAAAAATGTCATTTTTACCCAAATTGCCAATAGGGAATAGGGACACAGACCGCTCTGACTTCTTCCATGCTGTACAGGGATGCAGGGTGAGGTAATTGATAAGAATAGGAGGTAGGAATTGGCTAGGCAGTTAGGGTAAAAAGACCCCAAAGAAATGTAGCCAGTTTCTTGGCTAAAAGTCAAAATGTCCTTGGGCCTGTTAGCAACATACTCTGTTCCAAAGGCCAAAAATGTCAAAAGTATTGGGGAGCTTGTATCTAACCCTTAAAAGATTTTATACCTCTTCAGAGAGGGGAATGTTGGAGGGGAGGGAGTGGGCATGGATTTGATCAAATCACCTTATATACATGTATGAAATTCTTAATAAAGTTTTTGTTAAAGTTAAAATAAATAGATAGATTTAAAAAAAAGAAAGACAAATGTCGTTGTATCCTGAAGGCTCTGAGGCCTGCTTGTCTCACCCAGACCTAGAACTTTTCCAGCTGTGTTCCAGAGAAAGCCACAGAGAGTGAATAAACCCAGACTATTATTACCACCAGATGAGAAACTTTGCACATAATGTGTCAAATACAGTATTACAGGAAAGCTAGAAATAAGTGACTCACTTACTAGGTCCCCTCTGCTTGAGTCCCTACTTTATGATGACATCACTATATCTCC